CTTGGTTAAGAAGTTGACCTCTCTGGGCCTCAGTTTCTTCATTTGCAAATATATCTCTTGGACAGAGAGATTGGTGTAGAGATGTGAGACTCAATTGACCAATGAGATTCAAGGCCAGGACTTGCGCTGAGACCACCAGGGAAAAGAAGCACTCTTTCCATTGGGGTTGCTGGGCTGGCAGGATGTGAGCCTGGAGCCGCTGGGGCCATCCTGGCGACCTCAGGGGGAGAGCCTATCTGAGTCTGAAGCTAACACAGGGGGCAGCAGATAAGAGAGCTGGAGAGAGTCATGATGGTATTGTTTGAGCTCCTGGATAGGGCAATGCCTGAAGCAAGCCACTTTTGGACTTCCCAGTTTCATGAGCCAGTAAATTCCCCATTTTGTGAAAGCCACTTTCAGTTGGGTTTTTCTCACTGGAAAGCATCCAGGCTGACACCAGGGGGTTAAGCAACTTGCCCAAGGCCTCAAAGCAAGTAAGCAGCAGATGCAAGATGTAAAAGCTTCTGATCTGCTGTGTCCAAGCCAGCGTTCTGTATTGGGTATTCACTGATTTTACCTCTTTTTGCTCTTTGAACAGCCATTTCCTCATCTGCAAAATGGGATAATGCGAGGCTTGCAGGGCTGTTGGGAAGTATAAAATGCAAGACCACAGATCAGTCTGCGGCTGGAGACTGAAACGCTATGCACTCAGTCTCCAGTGCTGTGGGCCTTGGCTTTGTCCCCAGTTAGTTATTCTCAGGGAGGTCTTTGGCTGACCCCAAACCAGCCATCCATCCAGTCGAGGTGCTAAACTATGTTAGGAGGGCATGTGTGATTCTCAGACGACAGGGCCACTTCCTTTCCTGGCTGTGTGTCCTCACTAGTGGACAAAGGGAGCTGGATGACCCCGAGCTCGGAGTCTGTGAGGTAGAAAGAAGCCCTGTCATCTTGGTTTCTGGAACCTTCTGAGGACTCCGGTGCTCATGTGGGAATGACCTGTCACTCAAGGCAGAGGGCATTGAACCAAAGCAACTTAGTCTCTTTTCTTTTATGATGTTTATATTTAGTGGTGGAGCTGGATGATAGACACATAAAACAAATATAGAACATAATACCACATGTTAACAGATGAGAGAAAATAAGTCCTTAAATGCCTGGTAAGTGCTAAGAGGGAAAAGGGATAGGGTGTTGGGATACCGTTTATTAGAAGACATCAGAGAGGGCCTCTCTGAGGAAGCGACATTTCATCAGAGACCAATTTGGTCTCACTCCGGATTCCAAGCTCTTAACCTGGGCTATCTCCCAGAAAAACGACCAGGACAGTTTTTACCAGGAAACTTGCTGACACGGCCTAGTTAGGAGCAGATGATCTGTTGGAGGCTTGGTAAACAGCCATCCTTCTCCACTGACAGCTCTTTAGGACTTTTTAAAAAGTTTAATGGGTCATTGATTTCCTTCATTAGCTAAATCCATGAAGGAAAAGCCTAATAAATTGCATGAGCCCATTCCTCAGGCATGCCTGCCGGGAAAAGGTTTTAGCTATCATGACACATGGGCATTTGTTTATTTTCTAAATAGTCATCACTAAAAGAGTCCCAATCATCACCATCAAATCTCTGAGGGATCGCAGGGCTTGGCTGGTTCCCGGCCAGGCCTTGGCAGGAACTGGCGGAGCTTTACAGATGAAAAGCAAGCTACAGAGAGCCACAGAAGACCTTGGGTCCCTCCTCCCGACCCAATATCAGATGCTTGGGACACAGACAGAAAATCAAGGTCCCTACCCCCATAGAACATTATGGGGGGGGGGCGGGCAGAAGAGGAAAGCAAGCCAACAAATAAATAATTTTGCGGGGGAATTTTAGACAGGGGTGAATGCCATGGTGCACAAGACAAGCTCTGTTCTGTGTCAGAAAAAACCTGTCTACAGAAGTGACATTTGACCTGAGACCTGAAGGGTGAGAAGATCTGCAGGAAGTGTGGTCCAGGCAGAAGTTACAGCTGGTGCAAAGGTCCTGAGGTGGAACTAGTTCGATGTATTAAGGACCTGTCTGGAATGGAGTATGAAAAGAGGGGAGAGGCTGGGGAGGTGGGCAGGAACCAGGTTGCCTGGGTCTTATGGGCCAGGGTTAGGATTTATTTGGGGTTCATTCTAAGAAGGATGGGAAACTATTGGAAGGTTTTACGTATTAGAGTTTCATGATCCAAATATTAAAAGCTCTACTGCTAGGGGCGCCTGAGTGGCTCAGTTGGTTAAGCGACTGCCTTCAGCTCAGGTCATGATCCTGGAGTCCCTGGATCAAGTCCCGCATCGGGCTCCCTGCTCAGCGAGGAGCCTGCTTCTCCTTCTAACCCTCCCCCCTCTCATGTACTCTCTCTCTCTCTCTCATTCTCGCTCTCTCAAATAAATAAATAAATCTTTAAAAAAAAAAAAAAGCTCTACTGCTATGTGAAGAATGGATATAACGGGATTAGCAGATACCTGAAATTAGGGATTTCATTCAGGATCACTGTTTGTGACCAGTTTCACCCTCTGCCACGGTAATAGGTTGATTGGGGCCTCCCCCCAAAAATATGTCCAAGTCCTAACCCCCAGAATCTAGAATATGATCTTTTTCAGAAAAAGGGCTTTGCAGATGTAATTAATTCAAGGATCTTAAAATGAGATCATCTTGGATCACTTGGGATTGCCAAATCATCCTGGATTAGGGTAGGTCCTAAATCCAGTGACAGGTATCCTTATAAGAGTGAGGCAGAGGGAGATTAGACAGACAGAAGAGGGGAAGATAGAGAAGAAAACCAGGTAATGATGAACACAGAGACTGGAGTGATACGCCACAAGCCACGGAATGACTGCAGCCACCAGGAGCTGCAAGAGGCAAGGAAGATTCTCCCCTAGAGCCTTCGGAAGGAGCACAGCCCTGCTGCACCTTGATTTCAGACTTCTGGCCTCCACAACTGTTTGAACATAAATTTCTGTTGTTTTAAGCCACCAAATTGGTGATCGTTTGTTACACGGCAGCTCTAGGAAATTAATGCAGCCATGAAACAGTCCAAACTCGGACCTTGCATTAGCCGCCTCCTGCAGCCCCCAAGAACCTGTGCGTAACTTTAGAACCACCCTGAGGCCGTTCCAGTCACTGAGTGGCACTCCCTGCAGGCATGCAGGCCACCTGGGCTCCAGATAGATATTTGATTTATTTACTTAGCTCAGTTCAGGAGGACAGGAATGAACCAACCCTGTTCTCTGTTCCTCCAAGGAGCTCTCAGTTCTGTGCGTTCCAGACAAACTAACGCTCAAAGAAAAGACAGCTTCCAAGTGTAGGGGTTTCCAAACTTTTTACCAGAATGGGCATCTTCTGTTAATTTCCCCCCACGGAATACTCAGTTTCTAAAGACATTGGCTAGGACACTTGGGTGGCTCAGTGGGTTGAGTGTCTGACTTTGGCTGAGGTCATGATCCCAGGCTCCTGGGATGGAGTCCCATATTGAGCTCCCTGCTCAGCGGGGAGCCTGCTTCTCCCTCTGCCTGATACCCCCCCCACCCCCCACCGCTTGTGCTCTCTCTCTCTCTCTGTCTCTGATAAATAAATAAAATCTTTAAAAAAAAATACATTGGCTATCAAACCAGTTGTATTTATTCAATAATTACTCATTTACCTCCTTATTTGCTATTATTTGAAAGTATATAATAATGCGGGTTAATAATGTGTTGATCCACTCACTACACTAAAAGCAAGATCTATAGCAACATGTAATCATTCAGGCTTCACACCACCTCTGTGAGGTGGGTACCTTTGTCGTCCTCATTTTACAAAGGAGGGAACAAAAGCAGAGAGAGGTTAGATAATTTGCTCAAAGTTGCAGCGCTAGCATTTAGTAGAGCTGGAATTTGGACCTAGGCAGTCTGGCTCCAAAGCAAGCACTCCCCTGGAGACTTGGTGAGAATCTTGGCCTCTGTGCCAATGTGCAATGCTACTAAGGACAAGTGATTTTGCCTCTGTGCACCTCAGTTTCCTCATCTATAAAATGGGAATGATAGTAGTGCCCGTATTGTAGGGTTGTTGTAGAAATTAGATGAGAATGTGTACTTGGAGTGCTAGGCGCAGTGCCTGCCACAAGCACTCAAGGAATGAGCTGGAATTCAACCAGTGACATCAGGCAGCTTCTCTGGGCAGGCCTGAGATGGGAACAATGAAAACGATGATTCAGTTTTCTAGGTCCTCTGACCCCACGGAGTTCACAATCCCATATAATGTGCCAGGCCCAGAAATGAATGGCTTAAAGCAGAACCCACAGGAAGGCAACCTGCCCAGACTTTCTCATATGTGCTCTAAGGACCACAGGTATAGTAGCTGGAGCTGCTGGTGAAGAATACAGATTCCTGGTATCTGGATCCTTTTAAGGTGCTTCTAGAAATCTGCATTATTCAATACATGAACGTACCACGTAATTTTTGCTCCACTGAGTCCAGTCTGAGCAGGATTTCCTTGCTACTTTGAGAAATACTGAAAATCATTCCAAGACCCCAATCCATTCATTCCTGCAGCGCCCAGGATAGGAGACCTCAAACAGAAATCTTGCATTTCAGACAAGGATAGTACCCTCGAAAAAGGGGCAGACCTTTGGCCTGAGGGGAAGACATGCAGCCCTCGGCCCATACTCCAGCTTGCAGCACTGAGGCCAGGATCCTGGCGCTGAAAGACAGATGCACGGTTACTTCAGGGTCACTCTGTGACTCAACGGGCCGCGGCGAGACTTGAACCCAAGACCCACTGGGGCCTTGCAAACCCACGCTCCGTGGGCGGGGCTCCCAGGGTCGCCTAGGCAACCGGCGTGGGCCACGCCCAAGCCCCGAGCCCCCGAGGCGGGAGGAGGGAGGGAGCGCACGCTGCCGGACGTCTCGCGGGGCTGAGGCCACTTCCCCCAGCACCTCCCCCCGGCTCCGCCCCGCGGAAGTGCTTGCCGACATTTTCGAATGCTGATTGGTTCTCTCACGCGGGGGCGGAGCCCGCGGTAGCGCGGTGCGTACTTCCGGCTGCCGGGTTGACATGAAGAAGCAGCGGCGGCTAGGGCGGCAGTAGCGGCGGGAGTCGAGCCTTGCAGCGGGACTCAGAGCTGAGAGCGCGGCGCGGCCTAGAGCAGCAGGCGGTGCAGTGGGCCCAGGAGGAGGCGCAGCAGCCGCCCTGGCCCGTCATGGAGATGGAAAAGGAGTTCGAGCAGATCGACAAGGCCGGGAGCTGGGCGGCCATTTACCAGGTGGGGTAGCGCCCCGGAGCGCGGCAGGCCCCTAGCTTAGGCCGCGAGAACCTTCCTCTCAGACCCCCGGGCCCGGTCCTCCCTCTGGGTCTCACTCTCCGCCTCGGCCGTGCTGCGTGAGGATTCGATCCGACGGCGGCAGAGACCGGCCTCCTCTCTCTTTGTCCCCCGGGTCGGCCTGCGTCTCTCCGGGGCCTCTCAAACCCCTTTGATTCCCCACCCACCTTATATCCTCCAGCCCGGGTGACCCCTCAAGCCTGGAGGCCACCGGTCGGTGCTCTCAGCGCGAATCCCTCGCACCCTGACCCCGCCCCCCTGCTTAGCCACTCTTTGTCCCCTGGGGTTGATGGAACACCCCCACTACTTCCTTTTCTAGGCTGGACCACCTCAGACTCTCTTCCTTTGTCTCCCTGGGGAAAGGGTTACTCCCCCCTCCCTCCTTCACATTTCCTTTCCCCTCGTCTGAGTGTGTGTCAAGTCCCAAGGATGACAGTCCTCTTCCCCCTTCCTGTTCATTCATTTAGTGAACATGAATTGGCGTGCCTTTTCTATGCTGGGCATGGCGCTGGAAGTAGTGTTTGCAGAACGAGACCGACAAGACCCTATTTCTCGCGGAGCTTAGAGTCGAATCGGGCAGTCAAACCCATGAACAAATCATTTCGGATTGTTACAAATCCTGTGACGAAAACAAACACCATAACGGGGTAGAGTCACTGCCTGGAAGGTGGGCCATCTCAAGGGGGATCAGGGAGGATCTGTCAGAGGAAGAGACTTTTGCTCTGTGCGCTGAATGAGGAGCAGTGGCAAGCCCTGAGATGATCAGGCCAAAGCGCTTTTCAGCCAGAAGACCTGCAATACGCACTCTTCTGGGGCCAAAATATTACCCTTTCAGGCAGGAAACAGGGAAGGTTAACGTTTTTTGCCCTCTCTAAAATAGCTTCTTTCCCCAGTGAGCATCTTATCTTTTTTTGCCCTGGCTGAGATAATCGAGTCCTCCCAGTCTTCATCTCCTTGTGGGTTACATGGTTCATGAATAAAAAAGTTAGAAAGGTAGGGTTTCTCACCTATCGGCAGCATCAGATTAACAACACGAAAAGGTCTGCTTTCATAAGCAGCTAAATTCTCTAGAGAAAATACGAGCTTCTGATTAAATGTCATTGCGGGGGTTGTGAGAGGATTAACCAAAACCACACTCGGTATTTTAAATAGGCGATGGACAGAATAGGGAGATTTTTGTTACTTGTGTAAGGGGAGAATGCATTTTATTCTGTTTTCAGCTTATAGTCTCAAAAGGCAAATTGTGAGATCCATCAGCTGGTAGTATTAAAGTCTATTTTGAGCTCCACTTAAAAAGGGAAAAAGCTTTAAGCAGTTCTTTGGTATGCTTGACTAACAAAAGCCTTTTTTTGGCAGGCCTGGCTTCATGTGGATTTGCATCAAACTTATCTGACAGGATTCTTCTTACTAGGACTGTAATGGATATTAACTTCTGATAGGCTAATATTTGTAACCACTGTAATCTGTATAAGTATGCTGAATCAATATATGAAATTTGTATTCTGTCTCATCGCTGAGTTAATTGAATGAATTCCACTAGTAACTTTGAGAATGTGTAGACAAATTTTCTTTTTTTTTTTTTAAAGATTTTATTTATTTGACACAGAGAAAGAGATAGCGAGAGCAGGGACACAAGCAGGGGGAGTGGGGGAGGGAGAAGCAGGCTTCCTGCGGAGCAGGGAGCCCTATGTGGGACTCGATCCCAGGACCCTGGGATCATGACCTGAGCCGAAGGCAGACGCCTAACGACTGAGCCACCCAGGCGCCCCTGTAGACAGATTTTCTGCATCAAATCTAATGCAGTAGAGTCTCAAGTGGCTTTAAATGAAAAAATTGTTGGTTCGAAGTATTGATTAGAATATACCCCATCACAAGTGTAGATGGCCTCTAGGAAGCATTGGGGAAAATCTTTTGTACTGAAACTAAGCTGGCAACAACAAATTCATATTCTAAAAAGTTCTTCGGGAAAAAAAACCCCACAGTTCTTGGTTGAATTTTATTTCTTACTGTTTTAGGGCAGAGTGGGAAATCCATCACCCAAGCACTGTTAAAACTGTGTTGCACATGCCACCAGCATGAAGCATGTTGGTTTCCCTCATCGTTCTTATGTGTGTCTACCACATTTGAATGCCAGGAGTTAGTCGCATTGCAATGTGTTGAGATTTCCCCAGCTTCTTAGTGGACTGCACATTCCTGGAGGTGGTTTCTTTTTATTTTAGACAATTGTCCACTATAGGCTTTCTCACCTATACCGTACAGATATTTTTCTTTTCTAAAATTGAAATCAGAATCTCCTCTCCTTTTTGAGTTTGAAAGTGGCTCTTTATTGGGCAACTGGGGCATTTTTAAAAATGTAGAGTTCAAATGACCTTGAGTCTAAAGTGGCAAATTTCCCAAAGTGCGTGTCAGTTTACCAAAACCATTATTTTTCAAGAATTCAAAGAAATGTGTGCATCGTTGGCAGAAAGTAGAAGTAAAAAATTAATATTTTATAGCATGTCACAGTGAGGGCAGCCTTCTACCAAAGTCATTTTGAGCTTGTGTAGTCTATGGTGATTAGAAAAATAATGTGTAATTTTGGCTTAAAATTTTGTAAATGAGGCAGTGCAGTTATTTCTCACTATACTTCTTTCCTAATTAAAGCAAAAAGATGCAAAAACTTGGAAACAATTGGGAGAAGAACAAAGGGTGAAGTAGACTTTGAATGCCGAGGAATGTGGTGGCTTAGGAAACAAATGTTTCAGGCAAAGATTCTGTGCTATCTCAACTTGATAAAATGAGCATAACTGTGTTTTTAATTATTAATCGCATAGATACTAATCAGCATTTAGATATATAAAGAGTCAGCTTTGATAGCATATGTAGATAGATGGTTTTAAAAATTGTTTTCTGTCGTTTAAGCGATTGTGTGCCTGTTTTGAAAAGTGGAAGTAATAGTAGCCTGGAGTTTGAGTTGGTCTGGCTGTCCAGAAGAGGAAAGAGATCGCAGACTCGGGGAAAGGGATTGGTTTTCAGAGCCGGAATGAGAGAGGAGAGGGCTGGAATGAATGAAAATAGCTAATGAGCTGCCCTCCGTTTGTAGTTTAAGGTTTGGGTCAGGTGTTTTGCTGTTTGTCTCATCTCCAGTTCTTTGATTCTCTGACTCTCTGTTCCTATTTTTCAGTGTGAATGATGTGATTGTTTCAGATAAAGGAGATTGCAACAATAGCTCATGACTTGAAGTCAAGATTTATTCCATTTTAGAGGCAGGCTTTGTAAAGTGGGCCACTCTTCCAATTGACATTTGTTTTTATAGCTGCTTTTATTATGAAATATGATCGAATGCCTGACTGGGTTAAAACCATGTTATAACCATAGTTCACTCAAATTCCTTCCTGCTGTATACAGCTTCTATTGTCACAGTCCAAGCAGATGAATATTAAAATTTCCTAATAATTCTTATATCAATACCATTCTCTTCAGAGAAAAACTGTATTTTGTGCAGGGGAGGAAGATCTATACACTATGACTCACTTAAAGACAAACGGAAATGACATGGAGAGATTGGGAAGTTCTAGTCATCTTGAGTGACCCATTAGATCTAAATGTTCTTCTGTAGCCATGGTTTGAGTGAACTAAATTTAGGTGTCTGATCACCATTTTGGAAATGGTGGGAAGACCTCTGTAATTGTCTGGACTCAAATTAACTGGGAGCACAAGTAGAAATAGTGGAGGGGAGGACATTTTGCTATGATTATGTCTTTGGCATCCCTGGCATATTTATAGGTATACTTTGGTACTTTTGGAAGTATGTAAACTGTATCAGATGTCTCTCAAAAGTGAGCCAGGGAATCATGGTGATGCTGACGATTTTCAGTTACCAGTTGATCAACTTTTGGGCTCCACAGCCTCCTCACTGTGTTTACATTTTAGCATGAATGGCTCCCCCAGACCTATAAAAATACCTGGTATTGAATAATGTAATTGAATGTATAGTGAATTTCATAATAGAAACACATTTTTAAACATGCCCTGTAAGGGTTTTTCAGACTATAAACTGCTGAAATAATTGTGCCTTTTCTTTTTCTCCCCCATCCCCCTTCTTGAGTTGTCTATTTTCTGATCTTTAGTTTGCAGAATCCTTTTGGCAATTTTTGTCCTGTGCCATGGTTTTATTAAGCAGGTACTTTTTTGTAAACCTACCCTTCGAGCCTTGCATGTTTTGTGCAAGCTGGTATTCCTCCTTAGTGTTTATGTTAATTTGTTCATTTTTGTTACTTTGTCAGTTTGTTAATTTGTTGGTTAATTTGTCACCAACTAATACTGACAAATAGGCTGGGCGTGTTTCTTCCTACTGCCCATGTTCTGGGGGGAAAATGGGAAGTCTAGCTGGGTCATTGTTTCCAGGACATTATAGTTTGGTACCAGTCATTTGATGTGCATGTTTTGAATATCCATGAATGCTGGGGATAGTCCTTGATTCCCTCTATACCACATGTCATTGATTGGCCACCCTGGCATCCTTTCTACCACTACAGGGGTCTAGGTTCTCAAATCTTCTTTATGAGACACTTGTCATTTTTAGTTCCACACCACAGAAACGAGGGAAACTGGTAACGAATTAATATGGTCCCTTCACAGCTTCTTCACATCTTCCCCCACCCACCGTGTATATTTTTGACATTATCCCTAGAATAATTGTGTTAAAAAACAGACTTGAGACTATCACTCTGTTGAACTACTTCTAGGGCCTTTGTAGTATCTGTAAGGTCCAAACTCCTTAGCACGGCAGCCAGGTTCCAGCCATCCCCTCCCATGTACATTCTGTTCTAGCCACACTAGAAGGTACAGTGTCCCCCAACATCATCCTTAGCTTTCACTCTTCTATGTCTTGGCTTAACACTTTGTCCAGGCTGCCTTTCCCACAATCTATCTTGTGTCTCCCAGCTCATATGTGTGCCTCC